ATTTTAATGATCAAATTTTCAGCGTAGTTATTTTTAGTATCACATCCGGAGATGGCTTTGATTGCAGACCAAGTTTCTTTACTGTTCTTTGCATTTGCCAAAAGACTTTTTTCATATTGGCGCTTGAGCTTACTTAACAAGGAATTGCAGTAATTCCTATAAGGCTTATAAGAAATTTGAAGTATTTCATTGTCAGGGTTCTTTTTCAGTTTTTGGTGAAGTTTATCGCGGTGACGGATACACCTTATCAGTCCAGGTGTCATCCAGGCCTTAAGCGTTCGTTTCACTCTAGGAATCTTAATTTTAACAGTATTATTCTTTATAGCAGAGGTTATTAAATCAACAAATTTTTCGGCAGCCGTGTCTGCATTTAAAGTTGAAGATATAAAAGAAAAATCAGCAGACTCTAGAGATTTGATGGCATCATCATAATTTATTTTATCAATAAAAATATTATTAGGCTTGCGTTTGGGGTTCAAAGAAACATTTGTTAAGATTAAGGAATGATCAGTGATTACACTATCGAGTACCATTATTTGAGTATTTAATACTGTTTTCATCATAACATGGTCTAAACAATTATTGATACGGGTGGGATAGGTATGACCTGGTAAAAGACCTAATCCTGCAGTTAAATTTAAATAAGGTTCACTGTCTTTGTCTTTGTTGCCTTGAATAATATTTATATTGATATCACCCATAATAAATATGTTACTAGATTTTAAGGGACGAATAATTTTTTCTACAGAATCTAAAAAGTTGTCAATATAATAATAGGAGGGTGATCTATATACCGCTAATATTACTATATCTGGATTTATTTTAATTAAAAGATAGTTACCACCATTTGAATCAGGTTCTGTTATTATACAATCAATTGAGTGTTTAGAATAAACTGTTATACCATCATTTTGGATTGAACATTTTTTTGAGAAATGACGTTTGTAGCCTGGAAGCGGAGGAACAGGCTTATTAACATCAAGGCGACATTCTGTTAGTATTATTATATCCGGTTCAAATGAAAGTTGTGATATATATGCCATAAAGCCATCCAGGTTTTTATAGACGCTACGTATATTTTGTGCAATGATATTTAAAGAATTACAGGATTTCCTGACAATATCATTGCATTTTAAAACATCACACACAAAAGATGAAGCCACTCTAATATTATCCATATCTGATAGAATTTGATTCTGTAATTCAGGCATTTTTAAAGAGGAAAAATTCATTGTCACATCTATAGTTCCGATTTAAATAATAGCTATTGAGAGCCATCCCACAAATTGTTCGAGAAAAACTATGTATTGTAAAAATATACAGTACGGTTACAATAGTAATGTGAATGTATGTCGTACCGTTTAGTAAAATATATACAATGTTATATAAATAATTAAAGAAATAATAAATAAATATTTGATAATAAACAAAATCAATGTAAGTAGTAACCAAAATTCTACCGGAGATCTCATACAGTCATTTTTGGCCTCGCAGCTTAGCTAAATCTGACTCAGAGTCCACTCTGATATGTGGTTTGCCCTCATCTTGACATAGATATGTACGTCCGTATGAAGTCCAGCAGAACTTATATCCGTTTTCCTGCGCAAAATTTCTTGCTAAGTAGTTAAGGCGCCTAGCTTTCTGCGTTAAATGTTCAGAAATAAATATCGGCTTCTGTGGCCCATACAGTGCGAGATGGGTTGTGTTTAATTTATTTGCGCTGTTTTTTGTATTAAATTTGCGCGCTTTTTTCAATAAATTTTCTTTTTTTATGGTAGTTGTAAGGTCGACGATAATATTTCCGTTACCAGTTTTGTTTTTAATGCGGAACACGTCATTTATTTCTGGCTGTTGAAGAGGTACTTCTAGGGCCTTAGCAGTTTTTAAAACAATGTCACACAGACTTTCTTTGGATTCACTGGGTCCCATAGGGATGTTTCTAAGCTCAAGCTTTGATGCCACAATAGTTGACTCCAGAGAGCATATTCTTCCTTCAAGTTCAACGATGTAGAGTCGATCTTCCTTTCTTTGCTTTTCGAGGGAATCAAATTTGATTTTCATATCATCGTATTGCTTAGATATCATCTCGATTGATTCTTTAATATCTTTATATTGGGATAGTATTTCATTCACAGAGGATTGTACAGAAGTCAATGTACTCTGATGTTTTATAATGTTAGAATTAACTATAATTTCTCTAATTTCCCTGATTTCTTCCCTAAATAGTTCCATACTAGAAGAATCAATAACATCTTTTTTCCTTAGGGTGATATTATCACGCTCTGAAGAAGGCTTTTCAGTAGATAGGCTGGGGCAAATATTTATAGGTGTACAGCTCACATTCTTATTCTTGTTTTTTACCGCTGGCGGTGAGGCGGGAGGCGGTGTTCGCTTGAGTGGCATGCTTAGTTTCAAATCAAACTCAAAGTACCAGGCTCCCAAAAGTTTACTGGAGTTTACAGAAGCAGTCTCGCTGCAGGGGTCAGCTAAAATTGTCGGTGATCGACGATTTCTTACAAAAACTCTTTCCGTCCAACTATCATAGACCCTTGAATGCACATAAACAAACGGAATTGTGTGCGTAACTCGTATAATGTATAATTAATAGCACAGTAGTGTGACTTACGCGCAGTAGATGACAGAGAGAGGTGTCGTGTCGAATAGACGTCTCGTTTACTCTTAGAACGATAGCACACACAGTTATTCACTCACAACCACTACAACAGATAATGCGAAGGCGCAGTAGTATGTCACCTGATTACTTGCAGCTTAGCTCCTGGCGGTTTATGCACTTCTATTTTTAGTATCGAATTAAATTAATACTATTTTAAAATTAAAAATTAAAGTATCGTGGAAAAATTAAAAAGACGTCCAAACTAGGCGCGGTCCGGAGGGAGAAGGCAAAATTCTATGGCATTAAGCGAAATAAAAGCAGAAGCGGCTTTCTTATGAAAACATTAAAACTTAGTTTTGAGATAATAACAGATTACAGTTCTATTTTATGTCTATGAAGTGCTTTTGCACTAAATCTTATACGATTTCATTTAGTAAACGAAAAAATAGGTGCGTAGTACAATTTATCGGGTTTATAAAAACACCAAAAATGGTTTGAATATATGATAGATAATGTCCTATAATAGGGTATTTTACACCATGTAAAATAAAATAAAATATTCATATAGATTTTGTAAAATATTGACTTCGTTTATAAATCAATAAATTTTAAATTTCCATATTAAGAATTTTTTCGTTGTTCCTTAAACTGCAAAACACTTCCTAACATGTCGGACGTCACTGATCCAGCCTAAGCATATTAGTGTTCTGTGTCACTGACTAAGAGAAGCGTGTGTCACTAGCTAACGAGCTGTATTATTTCGAAATTTTTAAGTTATAATTACGATTATTGAGTTTTATTCCGAATTTTATTGAAAAGGCATCATGGAAAATTCGAAACAGAAAGTACTAATCTACCAAGGATAAAAAATTGATGGTGGCAAAATTTTTTGCATGCAATCCCAATTTTTGTTCTGCCGAGTTGACGAATGTTAAAAGATCAGTGTACGTACCTATTGCCAACTTTTGTTTACACAAAAACACAATACCAGGTCAGAGTGTATTTTGATAAAACATAGTTTGGTACTATCATAGTTTAGTTGAACTATAATTACAATCATTAGCAATCATTATATATATATATATATATATATATATATATATATATATATATATATATATATATATACATATATATATAATTACAATCGTTAGCAATCATTATATATTTATAGTTATAATATTTAAGTTAACGTAATTTATTACAAAATTTACCTTGCGATACCTTTTACCTCATGATGTTTTGTCGTGTATTAAACGATGGTTAAATATAAATCATATTTACATCAAAATTATCTTCACAGAAGTATAGTTTAGATTTTGCCTTCAGGTCTCTTCTTGCCAGTTTTAACCAAGTATTTCTCATATTTAAATCAGTTGGCACTTTAATCCATTACTTTCCCGGCGTTCTTATGCTCGTATTTTTGCATTCAGGTACAACACAATATTGATATGGATGATAACTCATTATTAAACATTAAAAAGTATATTATTCCTTTGCAAAATTGGCAGAATCGACGACTGTGACGTCACGGGTTAACAACATTTCGAAAATTTAAAACGATAGATTAAAAGTAATTTTTATGGCACTATACGATTTTAAAAAAATATATAAAAATTATAGTTGTTCATTATCATTTATCATTCTAGGATTCATTTGAAACAATTTTTGAAAATGGGTAAAATAATCTATTTAGCGAAATATATTTAACAGTAATCTGTATGTATGTATAGGGTCATTTTGTAATATTTGCAGAGAAGGTTTGGAATAAGTAATGTAGGTGAATAGTGAAAAAATAAATAAATAAAAAAACTCAAACATTCATCCTTTTTATCAATTAAATTCAGAATGCGTGGTGATACATTATTTTAACTGACTGGTTCATATTAACTATTATTTTACTACGCGTGCATTTTAATTGCAAGTTTTGCAAACAGTAAAGTTAACAAGAAAGAGTAAATTAATGAAGGCATCCAATTTTTCTGACACTTCGAAATGAGGTGAAATATTTGACAGATTTCATAGCGAGGAAGTAGATTTGTTAGAAAAGTCATATTTTTCATTTATTACATTAGAAATGGATAAACCAAAATATGGATATTCTAAAAGTACTTAAAAGAATTTGAAAAAAAAAAGTTATAAATGTGTAAAAATTTTAAGAAACACCTAGACATTGTTTTGTGCATATAAATACACTAGAAAAAACAAAACATCCGAATTAAAAAACTTATAATTAAATCGCATCTTTAAATGATGATGACACTGTACGATCGTCTGAGTAACAAAACGAGTTTACCTTTGTCGCAACTAATATCTGGTGGGCGTAACATTATTATCCCTTAATAACTATTGAATCCCCAGATTTGTATCACATTTCAGAAGTCAATCAATTTTGTACCTTCAGTATAAACAATTAAAAGCATTTTTAAAACTTGAACAAAAATACAATTAAAAATCACAGTAAAATGCCATGCTTTTGAAATAAAACAAAACAACCACTTACCTCTCTGAGCAGGCCAAACAGCATATCGGTGGACAAGGAACGCTCGTGAGCTTCATCCATGATGATTGCGCAATAGTTGTCAAGGTCAGGTTCTCTTAGACCCTCGCGGAGCAGGATACCGTCCGTCATGTACTTGATCACTGTTTTGGGTGAGGTGCAGTCTTCGAAACGGATCGCGTAACCCACTTCTTCACCTGTAGGTTGAGGTATTTCAAATATTGTGGTTCTGTTTTCAATTACTAGTTTAATAAGTTTTACGTGTACATTAAGTTTTCATTATTCCAAACAGTTTAAAAATTAACTTTAATTCAAAATTTATCATAGAAAGAGCGAGAGGCGCAGTACGTATGTAAATTAAAGATTATCGATATCGTACACCTACAAAAAAAAAATGCATCGTAGGTATAGTGTTCATAAGCGCGACTGGTGACCATGATGTTCCGGGGTCGACCCAAAAAAACAGTTATTTGGTCGAAAAATTCACAGTGCCTTAGAAAACATGTAAAGTTGTTGGTCTTTGAAATTGAGGGAATAGAGAGTGTACTTGTGCTTGCGCATACACTTGAGCACTATAATATTGTCCTGTGCAGATGGCTAGCCTCTGTTGAGATTGAGCTGCTGTGGCCTAAATTCGGACTGGAGGACATTAAATCGTATCGTACAATGAGTGAAGTAGTTACCGAAATAGTTTTTTTTTGAAGTGAAAAACTTTGCCTGGCGTATGTACACTTTATGGGTAAAAAATGTTAATTCCACTACACGGTGTTGACTTCAACGCAAAACTAGGCACAAGAGAAAGCGAGTAGTGCGTGAGCTGAAGTTAGGGGAAATTTGGAGTAGGGCAACGGAACCGTAGGGGCCAGCAGCTGCCAGACTTTATGGAGAAAGAGGGACTCTTTATGATCAACTCTTTCTTCCAGAAGCGGCCCCACAGGAAGTGGACCTGGTCGAACCCCGACGTTCAGTGATGTCTCAGTGATCGCAAGGGTGAAAACTGGCAGCGATCACCGAATGGTTAGAGACACACTGAACCTAAACGTTAAGTTGGAGAGGTCTCGTCTAATGAAGTCAACGCTCCGTCCCCCTGGTACTCTGATCCAGAACCCCGAAACATTTAAGCTCGAGTTACATAACCGCTTTCAGTGCCTAGAATATTGCTATGTATGTGGACGATATGAATGACAAGCTCGTGGAAACTGTCTCTGCGGTTGGAGTTAAGTTCTGCAAGACCCGCCGCAGAAGAACACAAAAACTCTCCGATCACACTCTTAATCTCATGGCTGTTAGACGGGAGATGAGGCTACAATCTTCAAAAGATTTGACAGCACACAGGCAACTGAACAGACAGATCTCCAAATGCATGCGGCGAGACTTACGCAACTTTAATACTGCTCGTATTGAAGAAGCGATCGAGCGGAACCAGGGCTCCAGTCTTTGCCAGAGATCTGCCTGCCAGTAAGATCTAACTGTCAAAGCTGAAGACTGAGTGTGGCAGCATCGTTTCCGGGACACCTGAGATTTTGAGTGAGATTGAGAGGTTCTATGGGCAGCTGTACACATCATCGTTGGAACAACACGCAATTGTGAGTAACGATCCAAGAGCAAGTCTCATCCGACACTATTCCGATGATATCCCGGACGTCAGTCTGAGCGAGATTAGAATGGCTCTCCAGCACATTAAAAACGGAAAGTCCCCGGGCGAGGATGGAATTACAGCGGAGCTTCTGAAAGCGGGTGGAAAACCGGTACTTGAAGTTCTTCAGAGGCTCTTTAATTCCGTCCTCCATGTTGGCATTACCCCGGAGGCGTGGAGCAGAAGTGCGGTGGTCTTATTCTTCAAGAAAGGTGACAACGCCCTCTTGAAGAACTACAGACCGATATCCCTTCTGAGCCGCGTCTACGTGCTGTTTTCGAGAGTCATTATGAATCGTCTCGCACGCAGACTCGACGACTTCCAGCCTCCCGAACAAGCCGGTTTCCGAAAAGGCTTTAGTACTATAGACCACATACATACCCTTCGGCAAATTGTACAGAAGTCCGAAGAGTACAATCTGCCACTTTGCCTGGCGTATGTGGACGATGAGAAAGCTCTTGATTCCATCGAAATTTGGGCGGTGCTACAGTGTCTTCAGCGGTCCAACTTCGACCGAGAGGTCAATCGACAGATTCAACTCGGCTGGGCAGCGTTCGGGAAATTACGACACATCTTCTCGTCAGGAATACCTCAAAACCTGAAAACTAAGTTGTACAACCAGTGCGTGTTGCCAGTGATGACCTACGGAACCGAGACGTGGTCCTTCACTCTCCACTCTAGCAGCTATGGAGAGGGCTATGCTCGGAATTTCTCTGCGTGATAAACTTAGAAATGACGATATTCGCAGTAGAAGCAGAGTGACCGACATAGCCCAACGGATTAGTAAGCTGAAGTGGCAATGAGCCGGCCATATAGCTCGAAGAACCGACAACCGTTGGGGAAAAAAGGTTCTCGAGTGGCAGCCTCGTACCGGTAGGCGAAGTGTAGGGCAACCCCCCACTAGATGGAGTGACGACCTGGTAAGACATGCAGTAAGTCGATGGATGCAGGTGGCTCAGGACCGTGCTTTGTGGCATAACTTGGGGGAGGCCTATGTTTAGCAGTGGACTTGTGAAGGGCTGCTAACCTTGACCATAAGATGCCTTAAAATGTGAAAGTTGAAATGACAATTACCCAGCTTGCAGCCCATCTCGTCGGAGACGCGCTTGGAGACTGACATGGCGGCGACGCGGCGCGGCTGCGTGCAGCCCACGGTGCCGAGCCGGCTGAAGCCCTCCTCGTGCAGGTACTGCGTCAGCTGCGTCGTCTTGTGATAGTTGAGATGACAGTTACGCAGCTTGCAGCCCATCTCGTCAGAGACGCGCTTGGCGACGGACATGGCGGCGACGCGGCGCGTCTGCATGCAGCCCACGGTGCCGAGCCGGCTGAAGCTCTACTCGTGCAGGTACTGCGTCAGCAGCGTCGTCTTGTGATAGTTGAGATGACAGTTACCCAGCTTGCAGCCCATCTCGTCGGCGACGCGCTTGGCGACGGACATGGCTGCGACGCGGCGCGGCTGCGTGCAGCCCACGGTGCCGAGCCGGCTGAAGCCCTCCTCGTTAAGGCACAGCGTCAGCAGCGTCGTCTTTTGATAGTTGAGATGACAGTTACCCAGATTGCAGCCCATCACGTCGGAGACGCGCTTGGCGACGGACATGGCGGCGACGCGACGCGGCTGCGTGCAGCTCACGGTGCTGAGCCCGCTGAAGCCCTTCTCGTGCAGGTACTGCGTCAGCTGCGTTGTCTTGTGAAAGTTGAGATGACAGTTACTCAGCTTGCAGCCCATCTCGTCGGAGACGCGCTTGGCGACGGACATGGCGGCGACGCGGCGCGGCTGCGTGCAGCCCACGGTGCCGAGCCGGCTGAAGCCCTCCTCGTGCAGGTACTGCGTCAGCTGCGTCGTCTTGCCGCTGCCCGTCTCGCCTGCCGGTTGTACACAGTTACCGTTAATAATCTTTCCTACACCACATGTTGCTAGTAGAGACCGAGCTGAAGTTTTTTGTTACACAATGTCATATAATTGAGAAGTTTCCTTATAAAGTTTTACAAGTTTCTAGAGTGTTAGCTAAATACACAGAGTAACGACTCAGTTGCTTTTTCCATAATGTTTCTCACTTTTTTTTAACTCTTCTTATATCATTAATATAGAATATGCTTAACGCATATTACAAAAAAATATTAACCTTTACATTTTCCTAACAAACTAACTTCCCCGCCATGTAATTTTTCAAATATTTCACCTCGTTCCTAAATGGCACCGCCCTGGTGGCAAAAAGTGTCGTGGATACCCTCGTTGAAAGTACACGAATACACACCCTACACTATTTGAATAATACGTACTGCGTACTAGAACAAACGCCGCGAACAAAATCTGTGCGCCAGTGCGGCAAAACACATCCTTCACTAATGCATCGGTTTCTATAATTTCGAAACGTTTGGTTCTCCCTTCCGAGCCATTCTACAGTGCTGTATACGAAACGAACATTTATGAACCAAAATACTGATTTAACAACATACAAGACTACGATTTTTTAATAAAAGAAGGGTGCAAAAACGAGCACACATTCCACTTGATGGTAAATAGATGCTGTGGACCATAGTCATCTATATTATTATCCTCGATTAAGGATCAAAATACAGATGTGTTGTCACCTGAGGACTAAGATGGAATGATTCATCTCCAGTAAAAAAAGTCTTCTATTCTCTACAGTTTTTACACTGGTATTTTGTGAGAGCGTGGTCCTTTCGTGCCACTTAGTGCGACCAATTGGTACTATAACCATAGATTTATCATAAATTGACGTTAAAATAGATTGGGAATGCAAAAGAGAAAACGCATAGTGTATACATATATTAGAGCGAGAAAGCGAGACTATTGCGTACACGCTATCAGCCCATAACTGGCGAAGGTATGCCTTGCATGCAGCCTTATTTAATTTTGTAATATTCTTTCATTTTAGGGTTATGTAGCTGATTTTTTTATGTTAATGTTTATGTTTTACTTTCATAGAACATTGTTGTTCGACAAAATGGTTGAAAATGATAAATAGAGAAGAATGGATTCCCTAAAGAAAATCCTATACCTTTAAACAAGCAATTCTTGTGTACACGACCTTAGATGCCCCAACAAAGATCGACGAAACTAGGGCCCATGAGTGATCCCCTCGATGAGCAACCAAGGGTGGAGCCCAATGGCTCATGGATAATTAAACTATAACGGCTAACAAAGAAGCAAGCAACACTTACCGATTGGCTGAGGTAGGGTTAACCACAGGGCATTTGTCAGTTGAAAGGTGATGTGCATGTAAGTGGTGTGCAGTAATGTGTTCAATGTGTAACCTGACATCCCCGCTGATCCTGGACAGCAGATTCCAAGGCACTGCCTCTCTCCAATGGTAGGATCCATCCAAGGGGACGTCCACCAATGGAAAACTTCCACTTCTATTTTCACTATATTAGTTTATCAACTTTATTGACCGTTTAAATTAACTTCAAATTCAACCAAATCAACGTTAATCGACATTAAAATAAGTGACACGCTACACAACTTAAGGACGGTTGGTTAAAGTTCAAAGTCCCAGGTTCACTTAGCACAACTACTAACTCGTCGATGCAATTAACGGCAAAATGGTTCTCTCTATGGCACTACTTCCAATAGCTCTTGTAACGTAACACGTTCAAACAGACAACTAAATTCGAGGCGGTCTAGACTATGCTCTAATATTCAATAGTAAATTCAAAATGGCGCGCACAATTAACACAACTTTTCGGCCTTTCAAGTCCAAACACCGGCCGCGCGCAACCGTATACCATTCACAAACAATAGTATAATCGACCCGGGCTTCGCGCGAATAAACCCAAGAATAAGCCTCGTTGTCACATATATTAACGACAAAATATAACAACTTGGAGGCCGTCGATAAGCGACGCAGTAATTGTATCAAACAAACGCGACCTCTAAATCGACCCGGGTGATTACGTAACGCCCGACGTTCAACTGACGCGGTACTCGAACTCGGTCGACTGACCCGCAGTTTATGCGTCACGTGATGCCGTTTAATAACTTTTAATCCCCCCGGATTAGTAAGCTGAAGTGGCAATGGGCCGGCCATATAGCTCGAAGAACCGATAACCGATGGGGAAGAAAGGTTCTCGAGTGGCAGCCTCGTACCGGTAGGCGTAGTGTAGGGCGACCCCCCACTAGATGGAGTGACGACCTGGTAAGATATGCAGGAAGTCGATGGATGCAGGTGGCTCAGGACCGTGCTTTGTGGCATTACTTGGGGGAGGCCTATGTTCAGCGGTGGACTTGTGAAGGGCTGTGATGATGATGATGATGATGATGATGATGAATCCCCCCTGGTGATACTTGGTGAGGTTTTAGACTAATCCTTACCCAAAAATCACATTTATATTTTGGGTACAAAGTAAAAAAGTAAAGTAAAGTAAAGTTACAGCCTATATACGTCCCACTGCTGAGCACAGGCCTCCCCTCATTTATGAGAGGGTTTTAGGGCGGGGAAGTGTCCGCCGCGCTGCCCCAATGCGTGTTGGCGAACTTCACATGTCTTAGAAATATTTTTATCTTATTCCTCACATGCAGGTTTCCTCAAGATGTTTTCCTTCACCGACGAGCACGTGGTAAATCAGCACTTAAAATTGCGATTAACAATTTCATTGGTGCCGGCGGGGATCGAACCCGGGTTGAGACTCGGTTCTTAATTACAGCGAGCGTTAACCATCTGAGCTACCACGGCTCTCCACCTCACGGGTACAAAGTATCTTAAAAAATTCCAGAATATTATTTATAAACATAGGTACAATGTAATTTAATTCTGGAAAATTAAGGACCGTGATAAAAATTTGCAATTTACCGAAGGGTGTGTATGATTACGCGGTAGAGCCACACTACAGCGATGTTATAGTTGCACGAATAGGTCGGCTCGACCGGGGCAGGACCACGCTCTCACAGAATACCAGCGTGAAATAGCAGTGTAATGCTGCTGTGTTTCGTAAGGTGAGTGTAGAGACACGGAGACCCTCTTTACTGGATTCAACACATTCCATCTTAGTCCTCAGGGGTAATAATGCACTTGCATTTTGATTTTTAATTGAGGATAAATGTGGATGTCTATGGGTTACAGCATTTACTTCAATTCAATATTATATATATATATATATATTCAACATTATACAATATTTTTGAGAGCACTTATATGTCCGCAATATGCCGCCATTTTAGTTTTTATGTGACTCATGTAGCTAAAAAAGGCACAATGCTTCACAATGAATAGTTTATAAGATCTGATGGAACAGGTGAACATACACCATAGCCTTCTAAAATCGTAACCTTCATTTTGGCATCGCTGTAGTCGGGTAAAATCAGATTCGCGTCAAATCAGAAGACGAAAACGTATGCAATCTGTATCAATAATTGAAGTTAAGGCAGGCAGTTTATGATGCAGCACTATTTGCCTCCCACAAGTGCACATTTCACGCACACTGGTGAATTTTGATTCTATGACATGAAAAGTGTCAAACAAGTTATGACCTCAGCGGAGGTATTTGTTGGGTATTTATGACTCTTGTAATCACAAGTCAACTTAAGAATATAGTTGTGAAATTAACTTACCGACAATAATGATGACATTATTTTCTCTAATGACTTGCATGAGCTCTTCCCTCACCGCAAACACGGGCAGGTAGCGTCTTTGTTCCGATATAGTCTTCTTTTTGACGAAGTCTGACTTCGATTCTGGTTCTTGGCCTTCTACAAAAAAAAAAACAGGAAAATTCAATAACTAAACATTGAAAAAATACACAAGCGAGAGAACAATGTGATGCCTCTGTTGATGGTTTAGTGTGTACGTACCGTGTACGTGTATTTGCGTGCATGTGCGTGTAGGTGTGTTAGTGCATGCATGAGTGCATATACGTGTACGTTTGCATGCGCGTGTGTAGCTTTTGTATAACTTGCAATGAATGAGGCAGACTGTCCGTCTAATGTCAAAAAACAAATTAGAGTAAGTTGTTTTATGTAATTTGAAACAGTACAATATCAATGTTAGTGAATCTGTTAGGGGAACGGAACGGTAACGGTTTTTTCACTACTGTGCAGCATAATATGACAACAGCATTAATGTAATAATATATTATAATAATTATCATCATCATTACAGCCCTTTTCAATTCCACTGCTGAACATAGACCTCTACCAAAAATTGTCACAAGGCACGGTCCAGAGGACGTGCATCCTGAGGTCGATCCTGCGTATCTTACTGGGTCGTCACTCCATCTAGTGAGGGGCCA